ATATCAGGAGTAGATAATAGGAATTCCCTATATCTACTATCCTATAGCATCCCTATATTCCCTATAGGGATTCCCTATTATCTACTCCTGATATATATATATATATCCTAGGATGCACATATATATTGTATAGATGTGTTGATGTCATTTATGCCAATTCGGGGTCCTATATTCAACGCAGTGAGTTCTTGGCTGGCCGCCACGTCGTCTGCGCTTATTTGTTGTTCCTTGGGGCATGTAAGAGAATGCGAAAAGAGGCGAAAAAAAGAAGAACGAGTGAGAAAGAGAGAGAGAGAGACAGAGAGAGAGAGAGACAGACAGAGAGAGAGAGAGAGAGAGAGAGAGAGAGAGAGAGAGAGAGAGAGAGAGAGAGAGAGAGAGACAGACAGAGAGAGAGAGAGAGAGAGAGAGAGAGAGAGAGAGAGAGAGAGAGAGAGAGAGAGAGAGAGAGACAGACAGAGAGAGAGAGGGGGATGGAGAGAGAGTGCGCGATAGAGAGCGACAGCGACAGAGTGAGTCACACTGCGTGAGAGTAAGAGTGAGAATTTTTCTACCGCAGAACAACAAACAACGGTACTAATACGCCAATACTGGCCCTCAATAATGCTGAAGGGGTCGTTGTCGTATATGTACCCAATCGTAGTACCCGAGGTGTCAGCGAGTATGTCGCCTACGCCTACTCCCTAACCCTAACCCTAACCCTAACCCTAACACCCTAACCCTAACACCCTAACCTTATCAAATAGTTACCTCGGGTAAAATAGTTTGCACCCTTCGTGCCGCAATAATAAGCTCGGTGTATATATGCCTGGGTGGGATTTGGCTTGCTTAGTCAGTGTGCCCATATAGATCCGATAATACGGAATAATCCGGAATTCTACCATAATACAGATCGGGTTTGATCCGAAAGATAACGGAGTAACGATCATCTTGAAATAAATTCGATGGTTTCACGATATAAGATTTAATTTATTTTGCGATCAATCCATGTATTTAACTTGTTAGTAATATTTTCACCAACCGGTCTAGTTGGCTGTGTCAAGCCAAGTGAGGTTGTTGATTACAGTTTATAATTACATAAATTTATTAAAAAATACATTTATTCTTATATTATCATAAAATCCGTCAGAATGATGAAATACTATCAACACGTCTATTGCAATTACTCTATTGCGCCATCTTTATATTTACGTCCAATACGTGTTGTATTGCATATATTACTATAACGCTATTGCGCAATCTTTATATTTACGTCCAATTATATTTACGTCGGTGTATTTATGCCTAGGTGGGATTTGGCTTGCTTAGTCAGTGTGTCCATATAGATCCGATAATACGGAATAATCCGGAATTCTACCATAATGTGTTGTATTGCATATATTACTATAAGTACAGTCTTACAGTGTTGCTTTTAATGTGGAACAATGTTGTACAATGTCGTACAGTGTTGTACAGTCTTACAATGTTGCTTAATGTGGAACAATGTTGTACAGTGTTGCGCGATGGAGAGGGGGTTGCTGGGTATAGAGCATAGAAGGCTCGTTCGAATCTCGAATTTCGAATTCCGAGCATAACTAAATAATGGCATTCCATGCATTCTAATTGGTCAGTTGATCAAAAGTAAACGCGCAATCTGGTTGGTCGCACAGGGTTTTTTTTGGATTTCGAATCTCGATTTTTTTTGACAGCAGGCGGGCAACAGCAGAAAGAGACAACATGGCGGCCATGTCTGCTACCATTTTCTGATTCGAACAGAGTTTATTTAACCCCTCACATTTTTCACATGTTTGATTTTTTCTCACACACACTCCGCCTCGCAGCAACCTATCTCCACGCCACTCGCTCCACTTGTCCAACTCCACCGCAAGAACACTACACGCTACCAGCCTACATGTAGTCTCCCCTTCCCTTTCCGTTCACACATTCCACGGCGCCAGTATCCAACCGAGCAGTCTCACACAAGCACACACGATGTGTAGCCACTAGCTGCTACTGCTGCTGCTACCGCTGTTGCTGCTGCTGTTGCTACTGCTGCTGCTGCTACTGCTGTTGTTGCTGCTTTTGCTACTGCTGCTGCTACTGCTGCTGCTACTGCTGTTGTTGCTGCTGTTGCTACTGCTGCTGCTGCTGCTGTTGTTGCTGCTACTGCTGCTGCTACTGCTGTTGCTGCTGCTGTTGTTGCTGCTGTTGCTACTGCTGCTGCTGCTGCTGCTGCTGTTGCTACTGCTGCTGCTGCTGGTTGCCATGGCGGCGATGACATACCAGCGAGACGGCGGCAGAAGATGTATCGGATGGCAGCGCAAACAGACGCCAGCTGCTTGTAAACAAAGTTGCCGGATAGGGTCAGATTCGCAAGCAGCAGCCAGCCGCGCACCGTCGTCACGTGACGTTGATCACGTGACGTCGATCACGTGACAGCAATCGCGTACCCCTCGAGGTACTGCGGATTGCAATAGAACCCGTATATATATA